AGCTGGACGTGGAGCAAGTGGGGTGGGTGAAGGCCACTCTGCGGTCAAGACGGTGCTCTTCCCCTCGCTGTGTCTTTCTCTTCCCTGTAGCTCACTGCATTTGAATCATGTCTTTCCTCTTTTTCCAATTAAAAGCCTCTGAGTGCAGCCCTGGCCTTGCCCGGCTAGCGCCCCGAGGATGCAGGGATGCAAACGGCCCTGCATCTCGCTGTGGCTGCGCGGGATGCCTTGCCTCCGCCGCGGGAGAGCAGGGAGCCCCCCGAGGGGCTTCAACCTACACGCCAGGTGCGGGCGCCCTCCCAGGGGGCTGGTGGGGTCTTGCTGGAGCCTCTTCTCCCCCAGCTGCTGCAAATGCTCCCCCTGCCCACGGTGCACCGCTGCCGGCAGAGCGGGGGCACCCCCCGCACTGAGGGTCCAGCTCCTGTCCTGCTGCCCCCTGCCCTGCAAACACCTGGCATTGGCACCCACCCTGCTATGGGGGGGGGGAGACATCCATGGGGAGGGGGCAACACAAAGCCACGCCTCCCCCTTGCTACAGTCCCAGCCAGTGGGAAGGGCTGGGCTTTCCCTATTGGCTGCAGAAGGTCCCCTGCCCACCCACCTACCACCCACTGTATTTAAGTTGCCCTCGGGTGCAGGGCAGCATGGGCTGGGGGAGCAGGATGGAAGGGCTGGGGTGGCTGCTGGTGCTGGGAGTTGCTGTGCTGCTAGGTGAGCACCATGGTCAAGTTCAGCAGATAGGTGCTGTGTCCCCAATGCTGTCCAGCCCTTTAGCCACTGTGCTGGGGTGGTCCTGGCTGCTGGTGGGGTCTTGTATTTAAGTTGCCCTCGGGTGCAGGGCAGCATGGGCTGGGGGAGCAGGATGGAAGGGCTGGGGTGGCTGCTGGTGCTGGGAGTTGCTGTGCTGCTAGGTGAGCACCATGGTCAAGTTCAGCAGATAGGTGCTGTGTCCCCAATGCTGTCCAGCCCTTTAGCCACTGTGCTGGGGTGGTCCTGGCTGCTGGTGGGGTCTTCACCCCCTGGAAAGGGTTGCTGGGTGAGGATGGCAAGTGGGGCTCTGACAGCCCTTGGGCTGGCCCAGCACCCTGGGGTGTGTGTGGTTGCCCTTTGTGCTCTGGAGCTGGCCTCCAACACAGGGGGCTTTGGGACGCCCCTGAGGCTGCCCCCCAGGTCTAGCCAAGGGCAGTGGGAATCCCTGGGGGGGGGATGTGTAGGGGTGGGGGGCTCAACCCAAAGTGTTGGCAAAGGTGTGGGGATGCATGGCATGGGGATCCCTGAGCTCTGCTCTGCCCTGGCTGGGGTTGAGCCTTGTGGCCCCTTGTCCTCGTGCCACCGGCGCAGGCTCCCCTGGCTCCAGCCATGTCTCCAAGAGCTGCTTCATCACAGGTGGCGAGCTGGGGACCGGCACCTCCTCTAGCCTCGGCACTGCAGGGAACCCACAGCCTAAAGGGGGTCTTTCTCTTCCAGGAGCAGAGAGCGAAGCTCTTCTGGAGATACCCACGTTTGGGGATGTCTATCATGTCACAGGTACCACTGGGGGGACTGGGCTGGGGATGGCGTCTGGGTGTCCCACCTGGAAGGTGCCACCTCAGCACCGAGCAGGCAGTGCTGCCCAGGTGGTTGGGCACCTCTGGCTGCCAGCTGCCTCCACCGAAGCCGAGGAGGTGCCGATCCCCCACAAAAACCTGGGGTCTGAGTGCATCCCTGCTTTGGGATGTTGCTGGCAGCACCCGGTGGTGGGGAGCAGTTCAGTGATGCTGTAGCACCCCTGGGTGCACGGTGCTTTGGGTCATGGTGGGGGGTGGGTTGCAGACCCCGGGTAGCAAACCCAGTACCTGGAGTGGGGTCTGAGCTCCTTCACATCTATGTCACCCCTTGCCAGGCCTGAGTTGGTGGCACATTGCTGTGCTATGGGGCTTGGAAAGCCGGTGCGTGTTCCCCCTGCATAGGAGGGGACAGCTGGGGTCCCCCGGCATGTCCCAGGCCAGGGTAGGAGCAGCAAGTGGCCTTGCATCCCTTGGGAAATGCCCTGTCCTGCCTGCCCCGGCCCTGCCTGCTGCTCCCTGTCCCTCACCCGGGTCCCCGCGCCCTCCATGGGGCACAGACCCACATCCCAGCTCCCCGCGCAGCCCTGCCAACCTGGCCCCTGCCCTCCTGCCCGCAGGAGTCATCAGCCTGCCCTACGCCGAGATCAAGGAGCCCTTCGAGGCCTGGTACAACCTCACTGGGGGGAAGAGCCGCATCGAGTACTATGGCGGTAGGTGCAGACCCCCTCCCCAGGAGCTGTGGGTGCCCCAGCAAAGCCCTGGGAGCCACCTCTGTGCCAGGACCTGGGGGCTTGGCTCCACTTTGGCACTCATCCGTCACAAGCGCTGAGCCCCGAGCTCTTTGCCAGCAGCAGGGCTGCCCTCTGTCACCTGGCTGTCCTGGCAGGGATAGCCCCCGGGCAGGGCAGGGCCCAGGAGTCCTGGCTGGCACCCCAAGGCGCAGCGGTGCAGGGAGAGGGCCGGGTGCTCAGGGCAGCCCGGCAGCTCCCCACGGCCGCCCCGAAGGCGCCGTGGGACACCCTCCGCCAGCAGGGTGGCGGTGACAGCTGGCTGCCTTCCTGGGGTCTGGCCCTCTCCCTAGGCCAAGTCATCACGTACCAGTTTGGCTCCATCGAGCCCTTTGGCGCCAGCTTCAAGGTGACGCCCGAGACCACGGAGACGGAGGTCAACGTCCGCAAGTGCTTCCGCATCAACGGCACCGACAGAGACCTCGTTGCCCCGCAGAGCGTCTTCCCCAGCCTGGAAAACTTCAAGGTGAGCTCCGGGGCATGGCCCCGAAGCATGACGCATGGAGAAGGGACCCCGTGGTGTATTTGGCCGCCGCTAGGCCACCCTGCGAGAGCAGGGCAGCCCTCCGTGGCTGGGAGCGGGCAAATGCAAGGCCAGATCTGGTCCTGGGTGACGATGGCTCTGGGGAAGGCTGAGGGGACAAGCCAGGGTTGGATCCAGCTTGGCAGGAGGTGCTGAGAGCCCAGAGGTGGGATGGATGCATGGGAAGGAGCTGTGCATGCTCTCAGGTGAGAAACCCCCGGACACGCAGTGCCAGGCATTGGGCCAGTCCAAACTAGCCCAGGTCAGCAAAAATCATCCGAAACTCTTGAAAGTCACAACTTTGTCCTGGAAAAGCCCTTCCTGCTGGGGCACACGATGGTGTCACTGCGGGGGCACTGTGCCCAGCTCCGGGCAGGTCTCGGCACGGTGCCAAGTCCCCCCAACCGCTGTGCCGTGCCCAGCGGGTCCGGGAGGAGCATTTCCGCGGGCAGCGCTGCGCCGTGTGGCAGAACGTGTCCTACTGGGGCCGCAAGAAGAACGTCTACACGCTGCGGGTGGCCAGCTCGCCCCGGGGCCCCGTGCCCGTCCACTACGAGATGCGGGGCTTCAACAGCCTCCTGGGCTCCCACTACGACAAGTACGAGATCGAGTACTCCACTTTCAGTCACCGCTTCCCCGCCAGCGTCTTCCGCCTCCCGGACGGTGAGTGGCCACCGGTCCTGGGGCTGGTCCCGCCAGCCGGCCTCTGCGGCCGTCCCGGGGCAAGCACCGGCCCTGAAATGCAGGCACCAGCTCCACCTTTTTGCCCTCCGCAATATCAGGACAGCACAGGGAGGGCTTTTGTTTGTTTGTTTGTTTTGCTTTTTGGTTATTTTTGCAAGTACCTGACAATTTTGGGGAACTGTTTTGGCTCGCAAAAGGAGGAGTGGGGAGAAATTGGGCAGGATGGCTGGGGAAATGCAGGCACCTTCTGGGCTCCTCCGTACCGGAGCTGGGCAGGAGGGTGGATGCTCAGGGGACGGGTCAGTAAACAGGCACAGAGCACCCTGGACATCCCCCCTCCCCAATATAAACCCCCAAGTAGAGGGTTAGATTCAGCCTCAGAGAGAGCAGCAAACACGGCCCCATCTCCCCCATTCCCGGTGCTCCCCTGCCTGCAGATTTCTCCTCGGCCTCCATAGGGGATGGAGCAGCCCCAGCAGTTTGGGGAAAATGTTGCCGTTTGCCCTGGCTGGGGGGACAGGAGGGTCCATCCCCACTCGGGAGGGTTCAGCTGCACTCTGTGCCCTGCTCCAGGTGTGCAGTGTGAGCAGTGGCCCATGGCTGGCCCCGAGCATCGCATCCTGGCCAACCCCATGCAGGAGTTTGTAGGGAGGGCTCAGGACACGGACCACGTCCATCACCGTCTCTTCCACCACTACAAGGAAAGGTTTGGGAAGAGCTACAGCAGCGAGGAGGAGCAGGAGCACCGCAAGCGTGCCTTCGTCCACAACATGCGGTATGGGGCGAAGACGCTGGCGGTCTGGGGGATGGGGCTGTGTTTGCTCGGCCCCAGCTTGCACCAGGCGACAGCTCCTGCACACCCCGGGAGCCTAGATGCCCAAAGTGTCTGGTGTGAAGCCTTGGGAGACCTCATGCTGGGCTTGGGGAGGATCTGCCTGGTGTTTGGCCAAGACCCTCAGCCTTGTCCTGGCCCCCCATGCCTTGGTGCAGTGGCTCATGGTCTCTCCTAGAAGATGCGTTAGGAGCAGATAAGGATTTGCAGCTGGCTCCCTTCTGGGAGAGGGTGATGGCAGGGACCTGCTCCCTAGCTGCACCCCAGCATGCCCAGGTCAGACCTCCCAGCTTGCATGCACACAGCCGGCACTCTCCAATCCATCCGTAGCTGCTTTTCTGCAGCCCTGGGCTGGAGGATCCCTTCCTGCAGTCCCCTCGCAGCATCTCTCTGCCTCGGCCCTGCCGCAGGTTCGTGCACTCCAAAAACCGGGCCGCCCTCTCCTACACGCTGGCGCTGATCCACCTGGCCGACTGCACACCCCAGGAGCTG